TTTGGCACATTTGATAATTTGGTGTAGTTTTTTGTCAAATTAAAAATTCGTGTAGGAAAAAATCACATTTTGCAAAGTTGGTGTAGAAAAATGTCATTTTCTCGGTATTATTATGATTCAGAATGAAAGAACAAATATTTCTTTTTAAAAAGAAGCTATTTAATGCATCGAAAGCTGTCCACAGGGACTCATACTATACGGAGGCGTACGTACGTTGCGGCGTCAGATTAGTTGTTGTACTTTTCATTTTCAGAACCATTATTTATCATGAAAATTAACGGATTTTATAAAAACTCTCTTTGGATTCTCGTAAGGCCCAATAGGCCACGAGTAGAAAATGTAAGAGATCCGTTGAGGCCCAATATGTATTAACATTGTTTCAGTAAAAAACAAATAGCATCATTTGGGCCGAAAGGAGGCCCAATAGGCCACAACCAAAACAGTGTGAAGTGTGAACACGATCTGAGCGGCTACGATTAGTCAACGATTCGGAATATTTATCAATGTTCGTCGTTCGAGTTAAAAAAAAAAACATACAAATAAATTGTTTAGTTTACAAGGGTGGTTCAATGAGATCATAGCTTAGACTTTGTCTATACAAAACTTCTGCAATCCTTCCGTTTATATCTCAGGGATCGTTTACTTGGACCGCAAGAAACCGTGAATGAAACCATAAAGGGGGTTCAGCTTTTGACCCCATCAACTGAGCTTTCCGGATTCTCAGCTTCAGTATACAAAACCCTAATTCGTTGGAGTTCTTCTGCGACTTCCGTCATGGTAGGCCTCATGTCCCGGTGGAAGGACAAGCACCGGAAAGCAAGTTCGGCCGCATTTTGAACATACCCAAACTTTCTCGGGTCGGTCTCTGTTTTGAGATACGGATCTACAATCTCTTCCACTCGGCCTTGCCCTATTCTGTCGACCGCAAGGGCGGCCAGGTTCACTTCACTGAACGGCCGAGAGAAGTCGATCACTTTCATGGCCGAGATTATCTCGACCAGAACGACACCGAAACTGTAGACGTCACTCTTGTCGGAGAGCTGAAAATCTTGATGGTATTGTGGGTCCAGATAACCAGGTGTCCCTTGCGGAGCCGTGGAGATATGAGAGGCGTCGAACTCGGTCATGCCGAGTCTGGAGAGACCGAAATCGGAGATCTTTGAGTTGAAGCTGTAGTCGAGGAGAATGTTGCTGGACTTGATGTCGCGGTGGTAAATTGGAGGGTTGACAGAGGAGTGTAGATGGGCGATTGCGTTAGCGGTTTGAGACGCGATCGCTAGCCGCAGCCGCAAGGGAAGAGGCGCGTTTCCTCCTTCGCGTTGCAAGTGCTGAGAAAGCGTCCCGTTGGGCATGAACTCGTAGACAAGAATGGGTTCGCCATGGGCGATGCAGCAGCCGAGGAGACGTACGAGGTTCGGGTGGTTAACGGAAGAGAGAAGTTTGATTTCGTTGACGACTTGGTCGATGCTTTTGGTGTCTCGCCGTCTGAGTCGTTTAACGGCGACCCACGAGCCGTTTGCGAGTTTTCCGGCGTAGACAGT